GATTTTAGTGATCCTTAGTGGGGTACTCCTACAAGGTGAAGCTAAGCTGTCTCTAGTACAAGTAAAATTTTCACCCGTTGAACGGTTTGCCTACTCGAGGATGTGTTTTTAAGGGCACGGATAGAGCTTCCGACCCCCCTTAATTTCATTGACCCTCCACACGAGTTGGGGAAAAGGAGTTAAAAGAAGTACTCTGGCGAGCGCCAGATGTACAGAAATTGCTCTTGCTCGACTAATAAGGGTCGACCGTGCAAAAGACTGCAGTTGGAACCCCCGCTAAGTGAATAAAAAGGAAAAAAAGTAAGTAAAATGAAAGTGAAAAAGGGGTTCCAACGGTGAAATGAAGTGAAAGAGCACCCCGGTACAACGAGTCCTTGGTTGTGAATGGTGTGAGTCCCTTTATCCATGAACTGACTGTCTTACTTCTACTTTTTCTCATGATCCTGGCTTGAGTCTAGTACTCGCATTGAGAAAGATAGGGGACGTCTTAGAAGACCAGTTGACCTCGTAAGCTGCTTTATGATCTAGAAACTCCTCTACCGACGATCGGGGTTGTTTGTTGCTATAGAGGTCTGGAGAGCTGCATTGGTTTGAGTTAGGTTTGCTTGGGGACAAGCAAACGGTTAAGTGTGGGGGGATTTGATGACTCGATATTTGCACATGTTTTCCCCTGTGTTTCTTGATCGTTTGAGCTTTAATTATCACATCTTTGGCCTATTTTACGCTAGGTTGTGTTCCTTTGTCATATTTCAGGTCCTAGCACATAAAGTGAAGCATAGGCGCAAGTTTCAAGTCAATCAGAGATCAATTGGCGATTCGGGAGCAGAAACTCGGGCATGACCTGAAGAAGAATGGATTTCTACCTCGCTTTATGGACAAATAATCATGCAATCTTGTCATAAAAAGAAAGAGGACAAGACTACGAGCGTCTGGGATCAAACGGCGACTGATTTGGAGTCCGGACGAGGGAGAAACGAAGCATTGAATATAGGGGAACAGGTTCGGCAGTAAAAACACGGGCGCGCCTAAATCAAAACACGGCCGTGCCCATATTTAGGCACGACCGTGTTTTGGCCAACGCACCCGGGCGTGTTTTTAACACGGGAGCAAAACACGGGCGGGCAAAACCAAAGCACGGCCGTGCCCGCGACCGTGTTTTGCCCAGAATCGGGTTTTTTAACCCAAATTCGAGCCAAAGGAGAGGGAGAGCTGGGTTTTGGATCCCAAACACCCAAGGGACGAACCCTAGAGAGAGAGAGCGACTTGGGAACATTCTTGGAGCTATTTTGGAGGATTTCTTCGCCATTGGAGCTCGGGAATCAAGCTTGGAGATGGAGATTGAAGATCTAGATCAGATTTCTGCAGTCTCTCTCTTCTCTATGGAGTAACTTCCCTTCACTTAGGTTTTGAGGAACCCTAGCTATGTTTGTTTGATTGGATGATTGTATGAGTACTCTGACTTGATAATCTTGAGTTCATATTCAATCTATGCATGTTTTCACGATTCAATTCTGCTTTAGTCGAGATTATTGATTCTGCTTTGACCCTATGAGAGCGAATACCTGATTAGGTCAATAGAGCACCATAGATTGATAGTAGTGGATCGATTGCTTTAGTCGAGGGTTGATTCACTACTTTGTATCGATTGAGAACCTCATTCGATAGAGGGAGTCTAGTTCAGAACGCCTTGATCGATTGTTCTAGAGAAGGATACGTCCCTCTAGGCAATTGACTCAAGAGGGCCTTGTTCCTTTAGTCGAGACTCAAGGTCTAGTCAAGGATTCTCCGCATTGTGAATGAAAGTGAAACAAGTTAGAGATCATCAATCGTTAATCTGGCTAGTGGCTAGGGGGAATCATACCTAAGTGAGTTCCCAACCTGTAATTAGATTAACTTTAACTGTAGTTTGTTAGAGTAGTTTTAGTTTTTCCATCTTAATCTGGTTTGCTAGATAATGAACTGAAGCTGTGTAATAGTAACTCTAGAGACCTATGGATTCGATATTTATTACTTGAGCCACTATACTGCAGTCCCTTTCATTGGTTACACTTGGCCATTGTTAGGAGTTGTGTCATAGCGAGTCACGTATTAGATCTCCCTGCACGACATCATGCTTAACACCATAGCGCAAGGTAGGTATACGACATAGTGCTTGACCCCCCTTGTCGTTGGGTCTCCATACTTAGCCAAATTCATGTTTTTTCATGTCTTGGTACCAAGCCCTGCCCCCTGGCCAAGGAATTCCATACTTAGCCCACTTTCATGTCTTTTGGTATCAAGCCTTCTTTGTCTGCTTGATACCGCCTTGCCTTGCCCGCTTGATACCTCGTCGTTGACCTCCTTACTTGTCTAATGTGAACATCTACAAAGTTCATCCCAACTCTCCTCCATGAATTGGCGGTTCTCCTCCATGACCTGGCGGTTTTCCTCCATGGCCAGGCGTTTCTCCACCATCATCTTCTGTGTCTCCTCCACTATCAAATGGCGTGACATGCAGGTGGTGGTTACTTTGACAGAAGGTGTCGGCGGTGGCATAGCCTCTACCTTGCCATTGTTTCCGACCAATCCTTTTCCTTCTTGGCCAAGTTCAAAATTGGCGACAAGATCCATCACAAACCCAGGTCAAAGATCATCTTCTTGTCCTCTCAGTCGTGGAGCCATCAAATCAAACACAATTGTCCCACCAGGTGTACCAATTTATTTTCCGGCGAGAGAAAAACTGGTGTTTGAACTCAATGAATGCACCTTGACTTCTCGAACCACGATTAATAACACGGTTCACACCTCTCCGAACAATGTTCGAACGAGGGTGTTTGATGTTTTTTTATGGTTTTTTGGGAACAAGCTAAGTTAATTACTCCTACTCCTATGGAGGTTTAGTGAGAGATCCAGAAACTAAATGCTACAACTATGGTTACATTGCAGAGAAAAGGATAAAATTTGGCATGTGTTGTCAAATGGTTGGTTGTGGTATGCTTGCTTCGTTTTTGCTTCTACTAGTTATAGACATCTCTTGTAACCACCGTGTAACCGTCTCTAGTTAACTGCTTCTCCTCTACTTGGCGCTTGATGTAGCTTGCTTGACGCCTTGACTGTCTTACGTGCTTGACACTTGATACATTGCACCTTGATGACTTCACTTGATAGCTAGCCCCTTGTTCCATGGAAGTGTCTTACTTAGTGAGTGAAGGTTTCACGCTTAGTGGTACTCGTGCTAACCACCCTGACATAACGTTGTGCTCGACACCAAGGGGCTTGGGGGTTGATGGATGCACACTGATCCCCATGGGATGGCATCATGCTTGCATTGTCTTGAAAAACTGGTCTACCACGTGATGATATACATGGCTGACAACTTAGAAACTTGATGACCTTGCACGAGACCTAGCATGCCTGCTCGGCTTGGGTACTTGAGCGGTGAGTGTCAAAATAATGCCGACACCAACTCTCCTTGCACGGCCTCATGCTCGACACCCTAGTGTTTGGTATCCGGTGCTTTATCCCCTTGGACGGTATCATGCACGACCCCCCTTAGATGATGTCATGCTCTACCCCCTTGTGGTTAGATCTCCATACTTAGCCAATTTTCACCTTCTTTTGCCGCATCACGTCTAGGGGTACTGATCCCCCTCGCATGACATAATGCTTGACCCCCCTGGGATGATGTCATGCTTGACCCCCCTTGTCGTTGGGTCTCCATACTTAGCCAAATTCATGTTTTTTCATGTCTTGGTACCAAGCCCTGCCCCCTGGCCAAGGAATTCCATACTTAGCCCACTTTCATGTCTTTTGGTATCAAGCCTTCTTTGTCGGCTTGATACCGCCTTGCCTTGCCTGCTTGATACCTCGTCGTTGACCTCCTTACTTGGTACCCGGTCATTTGGCACCCAGTTGTGTCGCCTTGTTTCCATACTTAGTTTTTGGATGACCTCTTATTTGGTATCCGGCTTGGTACCAGGTCGTTTGGCACCCCATTGTGTCACCTTGTTTCCAGACTTAGTTTTTGGGAGCCAAATTTCATACCAAGGGTTGGAGGCATCATCCGGTTATGGGGGCTACGGAGACGGGTCGGCCATCGTATAGAGAAGAAGGGGTTTGGCCACTTAGGCCCAAAAACCCAACCCAATAAGCCCTAACTAGCTCTTTTAGTTATTAATGTTGAGTTGGCCTTATAAATCCATTAATCCTCTTGTAATTAATCGATGTGGTATAAGCTAATTTTTTATGGTAAACACCAACAAATTAATCAAAGGTTAAAGACCTGCCCAAAGAGGTATCCATGGGTTTAAGTTAGTACTGGCTGTAGCTGATCATTACGACTCCGTGAACAGTACGTCGAAAATTTCGTAATGAATAGTAACTCCGAATTTGAGGGAAGAGAACGAGGTCCTCAAGGAACGTACAACTGAACTGCAAGAATCAATTCTTTCTCAAATGAGGGTGGGAAGGTTGCAACTGGAAAATATAGATTGCCCAGAACAAGATGTTTCCACAGCGATGAAAGAGCAACTCGATAGGATTAGAGCTAGGCTGAGTCCATTGTGTTAGGACCTAATGCTGCAGAGTAATTCATGTGAACTTTGGGCTTATGTATTTTGAATTATCAGTATGGTTATGTTGTTGTCTTTTGTAATGCAAGTAATGAGATGTACTAAATGAAGTTTGTTATTGAAATGAAATTGTTACTGATGTAAAAAACCAGCATCTATACACAGATGTAAAAAAACCAGCAACAAAATGAAGCTTGTTGTGAAACAAGCCCTTGTAAGAATCAACAACAACATGGTTGTGAAAAACCAGTAACAACATATATTAGTAAGAACTTATAGCATAACATAAGTCAGTACACATTTGCATAACAAAACTAGGATAACAAGCCATTATATCCCATGGCTACAAAATATGGAGTGGAGATTCAAAATATGGAGTGCTCCCACTCTCAACTTAGACATTCATAATCCGACCATACACCTCTAAACATCTTAGATAGGCTAGCTATATTAGTTGATGAGACCAAGTAGAAAGTGAAGCTTTTTTTCATCTGTGGGCAGTTGGTAGTAGAGCTGGGCAATCCTATCGTCCTTGACAAGGATTATAGCAGCTGAAAGCACTTGATCCTGTGTCAAACCTTCAACATTAGACAGCTCCTTAAACAGACTTCCTCTCCTAATCATCAATGGATCTTCATGGCAAAAGCTATTCGCCATCCTCTCAATGTTCATGCTAGCCTTCTCCATTAGAGGACGCATTTTCTCGATCTCAGCAGCCACAACATGACTCGTAGAACTTTTATCGGTCTTTGACCTCTTGTTACCTCCAGCTACATTAGTTGTCTTACCACGACCTGTTTCTGGTTCATCAAGCAACTCTCTATGGTTAACACCTTCATTTATCATCTCCTCTAAGACACGTTGACAAGTTTCATCACCATACATCATGGGTTCCTCGGTGAAAGATCATCTAACACGACCCTCTACTTCCATATCAGCTGCAGAACCTGCTTGACTTCCCACTGCTCTATCCTTACCAAAGATTCTGCTAAGCTGGTCGAAATAGACAAAGGCCTTGCTGTTGAGTCCAGAAAACGCTGGATGGGTCTGCATCCAGTTACCAAACCCAAGAAATCAACAAAAAAAAGTCAAAAATTGTAAACCATCATGTATAACAAGTGGGGAAATCTAGCAAGTATAAGAAAGAACAGCAGAGTGATTATAAGACCAAAAAACACCTTAACCCAATCCTTGAAAACATCATCATCAGCAACAATCATCTTCTTGGACTCATCCAAACCAAACCCACTACAACTTCCATTTTGGACATCATATATGGCGTTGTACTTGTTCTTGAACCAGCGATGTCGTGACCTGACATTCAGATTGAAACCCGGAATCCTCTTCCTCATCATAACCTCCAGCTTCTTGATCCCCCGTTCTTCAAGTTTCCTGACTCCACCTCCCTAGACTGAACCAAGTCCAGTAGGCAGTCGATGAACACTACATCATGAGTCTCTGACCAGGACTTGTACTCCCTTAGCCTCTGTTGTCCAGCATCATTAACCTCACCATTAACCTCGTCATTAACATCCTGGTTAGTTGCCATACCTTCGATGTTCAAGACCTGTAGAATGGAACAAAGCGTAAACTAGTAGTAGGGGAAAACAAAGCTTCTACTGAAGCATAAACCAGCATGAGGGGAACAAAGCATAAACAACAGATGGAACAAAAGCAATAACAGCAGAAGGGAAATGCAGAACTATTACTAAAGGTTCTGTTTATGCAGAAGGAATAAAGCATAAACCAGCAGTAGGGGAACAAAGCATAAACAACAGGAGGAACAAAAGCAATAACAACAGAAGGGAAATGCAGAACTATTACTAAAGGTTCTGTTTTTGCAGAAGGAACAAAGCAAAAACAGCAGAAGGAACAAACCTTTTCTCTACTGGTATAACAAGCTTTGCAGTACCAGTTAAATAGAAGAAAAAATGCCACAACATTGATTTCGACCAACAACCAAACACCAACCCTGAACTACTAGTTCAAATACTTATGGCAACCTTTCGTAATAAATTATGACACAAGTAAGTTGACAGAAAGAACCAATAAATTGAAAAGCACTATCATTCTGACATAATAAACATAAATTGGAGTACAGAAGAAGGGAGTAATGGCATTAACAAGTTTCTAACTACCTAACAAAAGAGGGGGAGTACAGAACCCCTATTGCCATGTACCAAATAAAAGAGGGGAGTACAACATCCCTAGCTGCCATCTACATAAGAAAAGAGGGAAATACATAACCCCTTATCAGTTACCAGCCCATGGCCTAGCATTCCACATATCTTGTGCCAATTTTTGTCTAAAATCTGACCACTCTATTGAAGGCTGGATATGAAGTATAAGCTCTTCATCCACATCTGGTTCATCGTCTTCATCTTCATCAACATACAACCTCTCGAACACATCAGCACCAACCTCTCCACGTATGAAGTTGTGCAACAGACAGCACGCATTGACTATTTTTGTAACCATCTTGGTAGAAAACCAAGTGGTATCTCTCAAAATTGCCCAGCGCATTTTCAGTATGCCAAGTTCTTTCTACACTGTTTCTTGCTGTTGAATGTCTCATATTAAATATTTCTTCAGGGGTTCTTGGTCGTATCTCATCCCAATCTTTTAGGTGATAACGTTGACCTCGAAATGGCGACAAGAACCCCTCACAGTTGCTGTATCCAGCATCGCATAAGTAACAGAAACCTGCATTTCCAACAATAGGCATTAACAAAATTGATTTAGTCATGAATAATATGCTACAAGTCAAACACAATAAATAAAGCAAACATACCTCTAGGAACCTTAAAACCATTTGGTCTAATAAGGGCGTCTCTCAAAACCCTCCCATCACGAGCAGATTCTTCCCAGCCCGCCAAGCAGTAAATGAATTCCATGTTCTGATCAACAACTCCCAGGACATTCATTCCAATCGTTCCCTTGCGAGTACGGTACCTTTCTTGATTCTCTTTTGTAGCACGTACCTCCACTATTGTTCCATCAAGTGCGCCAAGACAATTCTATAAGAAAAGGAAAAAAAACACATAAAGTTTAAAAGTTTACAAAATTCAGAAACAAAATATGCACACATGTAATAGACCATATACCTTGAAGTACTTCCATTTGGGATCATCTGAATTCTCTAGAACAGGCTTCGGTTTCCGTAGTAAAACAGAGTGCAGTTTCAAAACCGAATGTAGAACAGTTTTATTGACCCTACAAATCATTTCCCCTGAACGACGAAAGGTAACTTGGAGCTGACGATTCTTTTCGTTATGGGCTATGGTGTAAAGGAAGATGGCGACCATCTCATCTATTTCAAGGTAACAACTACTCCTAAGATCTCCCACATCTCTAAGAAGATTACAAAGTTTCTAAAATGTCATACAGTTCATCCTAACAAGCATAGTGCAAGATATATCACCGTGGGAAACGATACATCTCAGGAAAGAATTCCTAGCTAGCTGTCTAGCAATTGGTGTCTCCCAAGCAGTTCGCTAGTCTATGCTTTCCAAACGTTCAGATTCAACAGCTTCATAATATTGCATAACAAGTTTCATAAAATTGAACAGGAGGTCCACGTACATAGAAACAGCGGCTATGATTGCCTTCTTCCTTTTCCTTGGGCACCTTGCCATGATCTACAGCTAGACAAAAAGGTTGTCAAACCAGGGAATAGAGATGGTACCCAACACAAGAAATAATAGATGGGTAGTGTTTAAAACTGGGGACATACCTGTTCGACTCTCCTTCAATTCTCGCCGTCGAGTTCGGTTCCAACAAGTCTCCAGCGGCGAGAGTTAGGTCGCGCTATTGTCGAGGATTTTTCAACGACGAGAGTTGGGTCTGGCTTCGTAGTGCTTGAAAACCTTCAAATTCGAGGATGGAGATTTTTTAGGGTTGTGCTATTGTCGAATGGAGGAGCAGGGGAGGAGTTCTCTGATATTTTTCTACTTCTCTAGGAATTACACGAGCAGATAAGTGGGAGGTGAGAGAGTGTTGTTGATGAGGGTAGTCATGGAATAATTGAAAATTATAAGGGACAATGATGGAACATAAAAATGGGCAAACAATCACTCATTCCTAATCTCAACTTATAGTAGAGATTTGTAATCACTCATATTGAGTGATTGTAGGTGGGGCCATTTAAAGGTATTACATGTATTCTTCAACAAATTTAACCAAAAAAACGACTGAATCTACCCATTACATGTATTAGCTAAATCATTTACTTGTAATCCCATCCTCCAAATAACCCCTTAGTCTTCTTACACGCATTAACTTCAAACTTGTAAATTAAATCCATCAATTTATACATTATATCTTCAAATATAACTTTGGATATGTACCAAATTAATTATTTTTTCTCATTATTTGGATACATTTATTTGTTACTTATAATAACTTAAGAACATTTTACAAATAAAAAAATGATGATTATTTTTTGTTGACAATTTATTTAATAATTTGGAACATATTGTCGCTAAAATTTTAATTTAAATCACCATTTTACTGTTAATAATTAACTTAAATAATAATTTGTAATATGACATTTATATTATATTATTTTTTTATTTTGTTTTCTTTTATTCTATACGGTACTAAAAAAAATTTCGGCCCCCCGAAGTTCAAATCCTGGCTCCGCCCCTAAATATCCAGCATAATTTTCTTCCAACAACTCGAGTTATTGGGACAAACTAGTTTATAACATGCTATCAGAGCTGGTTTGGCCAATTGGTCATGTGTTCGAATCTCCAAGATGCCCAATATAACACTTAATTGAAAAATAAGGTATGGTGAGCATGTGCAAACTTCAAGCCTGTAAGTTTGCTTTCGTTTGAAGGGGCGTGTTAGAGAGTGCTATAAAATCCAGCATAAACTTCTCCCAACAACTCAAGTTATTGGGACCAACTGGTTTATGACGGTATCTACTCCACTTCAATCAGCTTACCTATGAATTGGCCTATTTTTGCCGCCTTTGTCTTCGTCATTGGATCCAGGGGGAGGACACGCACATTACCTAATTACTTTTTGGGATATGCTCTATCTAGAGCAATGTACTTTTTTAATTTGCTTCCTTCTAAATATCTTTCCAAGATACCTGTCGAATTGTGTTATGGGGCGAAAGCCCGGTGTTTGGCTTTTGTGATGGCCAATTTCTTGGGTGGACAGTTGGCCAAACGTACTTCCCGCGGATATATGTCCTCTCTCTTTATTGCATTATAACACAAAAAAAAAATGGATGGAAAACCATAAATTTGGGTTGTTTTACTTCAATAAGATTAATATATAGTCAGTTTAAATCCACAACACTTCAAGCATCCACATTGGGTGCTGATGATGTGATAAAAAGAAGAGAGAAGAGGGGTTCGGGTTCGATTCTCACAAATGAAAAATGATTACTTTATTTTTTTTGTTCCTGTCACATTATACTAGTGGTGGACCCAGGATTGTTAAAAAGGGGTGTCGTCTAATGAACGAGTATCGGCTATAATTATTAGAGTGGTGTCGGAAATCTCGTATTAAAATTTTTTATACCAAACAAATATAGATTCTTCACAAAATTTTCGTGTGAATGGGTTTCGTCCGACACCCATTAGCAACACTTAGTATATACTACTGCTTTTACCCGTTGCAGAACTCGAAAACCTATAACGGTGTCGTTAAACTCCCAACGGGCTCAATGCACCGGTTTCAGTCATAGAAGGAACTCTGCCTTTCTTGATTATTCCATACACATTCATCCATAGGCGGAGCTAGGGGGTATGGGATGTGTCCCGGGACACAGGTAATTTTTGGGTAAAATAAAATACCCCATATATATGAATCAATTAAGGATTGCACTCATCAACTTTAGATAATATAAAAGTGTGTTATCACTACACTACAAGTTATTTCAAGTTTAAAAGCTAACATAAATCAATGTATCACACTATAAACAAAATTCACGGTACCTAAAGGTCGATCTCTTTGCCTTCTAAAGTTAGTTTTGACTCTACTAATTACAATTGCAAGTGTAGAAAGAACAATTTCAGCTTTTAGCTATATTAAAAATAAGTTTCAAAGTCGAATTGTGACCAATATGCTAATGATTACTTAGTCGCATACATTGAGAATTTGAAAATGCGTTGTGATTGCTTATGAAAATAATGATTGTATTAGTCTAGTATTTCTTTGATATATATGAATAAATGATTTAGATATTATTAGTTTTAATTATATTTCTTAAATATTTATTTATTTATTTTATATTATGGAAAGAGGACACAGGTACTTTCAGATTCTGCCTCCGCCACTATTCATCCTTGGACGACATCTCATCTTTCGTCGTCAAGAGAGTGCTATAAATTGCAAATGAATTTATAATAACAAAAAAGTGGTGCGTGACTTGGTTGCTCGTGTTTGAGGATATGATACATTAATATCACAACCCATTTGGCCACTTGCTTTAAAACCCATTCCCATTTGAGCCATGCATACGCCGCCTTCCTCTCCTAACATGCTCATCAACCTACGACATGTCATTAATTAATGTTATTCTAAAACGCTCAACTAAACTCGCCATATGAGAAGTCAACTATTTGCAAACAAAAAGAGTCAACTAAACCTTCACATCAAGAACGTTTTACTTCGTTAAGAAAAAAATCTACACCAAGATATCATATAACGGATGGTATGAAATATTATATATCACTCTTGCGTAGGATAGCCATCGCAGGTTTGTTGGTCAAATTGTATATTATATGACAAATTTGTGGTGTATGTCTGTATGGTTGATTAATTACTAGTATGATAATGGGTTTAAGTCTGATAATTAAATTCATATTTGTGTTCTAAAATGACATAAAAACACCAAAATACTATAAAATTACCCTCACCAAAACATAAATGAGACCGACATCTCAACAAGACGAGAATGTACCAAAATGTTATCAAATTTGGACAGTGGATTGATAGAAAATGAATATATGACCAGAAGTGAGTTTCTCTGATGTATTAAAATACAAGCCTACATGCATTAGTCGTCACCACGCACAATTTGCAAGTACAATACATTAATTGTCTGCACAATCAACAAGCTAAGCAGGAATCTAACTCGCGGTTTGGGTCGGCTGGCCGGAGCACTATATAAAGCACGCCGCACCGGGAAAGGCCATTCACCAAATCCCCAAAGAGTAATTAAGAGATGGAGATGATCATCATGAGTAGTAATGGCAGTAGTGTTATCCAATCTTTGAGCGTAGCGCTGGGCGTCCTCTTCTTCTCAATACTCTGCTACAGGCTGCTCAGCACTAGAAGGAGCCGCCCGACTGCTAAATGCATGATCGGCACAAAACTCCCACCGGGGTCGATGGGTCTTCCGATCATCGGAGAGACTCTTCAGTTCTTCGTTCCTTACACCTCCGACGACATCTCTCCTTTCATCAGCAAGAGGATACAAAGGTATGATTGATATTTAACTATTGATGGTGGTGTTTGTT